AGCACTTTATCGGCCATGACCTCCTTCACCTCAAGTTGTAGAATCGTAGGGGTAGGTAGAGCCAGAACATTCATTGAGGATTGCATTCGTGAGAGAGCATCTGCCGCTTTGTTCTCCAAGCTTGGACAGTATTGGATGTCGAATTGGTACCCTATGAGTTTTGTGAGCCATTTTTGATGATCATCACTCACTAGCCGTTGCTCCAACGAAAATTTCAAACTCCGTTGATATGTTCTGACCACAAAATGTCTGCCCAACAAGTAGTGACGCCATTTTTGGATGGTGAACACAATGGCCATTAATTCTCTCTCATAGACTGACTTTTGTGTGACACTCTTGAGGTAGAACTTTGCTGAAAAATGTAATAGGATGACTGTCTTGCATCAATATTGCCCCTAACCTGTGATTCGAGCCATCGGTTTCAACCACAAACTGCTTAGAAAAATCTGTTTGAGCGAGAACCGGAACTTTGATCATAGCTGATTTAAGGGTTTGGAAGGCTGCCTCCGCTTCGTCATTCCATCTGAATCTATCCTTCTTGAGCAACTCAATTAAAGGCCAAGCCCTCTTAGCATAGCTCGACACAAATCGCCCGTAAGCCCCAAGAATCCCCGAAGCTCCTTGATGTTGCTTGGGCTCGGCCAGCTCACTATTGCCTCAATCTAAGACTGATCGGTTGCTCAGAAATCACATGACTGAGGTACTCAACTTTCAGCTGCCCAAACAAACATTTCTTCTCATTGGCATACAACTATTGCTCTTGCAATGTCAACTGATTTATTGTAAACCACAATATCGACGAAGAAGACCAGGACAAACTTACGTAGGTAAGGCCGAAATACCTCATTCATCGGGTATTGAAAGGTTGCCGGAGCATTTGTTAACCCGAAAGACATAACCAAGAACTCATAGTGCCCCTCGTGAGTACGAAAGACAGTCTTGGGGATGTCTTCCTGTCTTACTCTGATTTGATGATAGCTAGATTTCATGTCCAACTTAGAGAACACACTAGCCCCATGTAATTCATCTAACAGCTCATCAATTGCTGGAATTGGAAAACGATCGGACATTGTAACCTTATTAAGTGCTCGGTAATCGACACAAGGCCTCCAGCTACCGTCTTTTTTCTTCACCAACAAGACGGGGCTCGAGAATGGGCTAAGTCTTGGTTGTATGATTCCTACAGCCAATATTTCTTTTAACCAACCTCTCAATTTCGTTCTTTTGAACATATGGGTATTGGTACGGCTTCACATTCACCGAAATCGCACCCGGTTGCAGGCAAATGGTATGGTCTCGTGCCCTCGGCTGTAGCAGTTCGCTGGACCATTCGAAAGCCTACAATGATATTGTTGCAACTCCTTAATTGAGTTGTGCACTACTGTTACGGTTTTCCCCGACTCCACTTCCAAGTAACCGAATTCTAGCAAAATTCCTTGCTTCCCTTCCTTAAAAAGTCTTAACCAACGACTTCAACCGACACTTGCGTTTTATCCAAGTTAGGATCTCCCTGCAACACTATAGTTTCTCCCCTACCTTAAAACGCATAGTTAATGTGTCCCAATTCACTTGCATCCTTCCTAAAGTCTCCAACCACTTCATTCCCAAAATTACATCTGGACAACCCAACTTAAGGGGCAAGAAGTCCTCAACCACATCAATATAAGATAGTGAAACCCCCCACTCCCCTACAAATGCCACCCCCCTTTACAGACAACCTTGTTCCCACGAGAACCTCGTAACTTGCCGACTCCATAACTTGTAGCCCTAAGTTCTGGACCAACTCACTTGAAACGAAATTGTGCGTAGCTCCACAATCAATAAGGACTATCACTGTTTGTCCTGAAATTTGACCTCCCAACTTCATGGTTTTAGGTACAGTCTACCCCACCAGACTTTATGGACAGCTCCACCGTAACACCGATCAAGTCTTCAGCCTCTTTCTCTAGACCCTCCAATGGTTCTTCACTCTTTTCCTCTTGTACTAATAGTACTTGCAATTCCCGATTTTTGCACTAGTGACCCGAGAAGAACCGCTCATCGCAGTGGTAACATAGCCCTCTCTCCTTCTTTGATTGAAGCTCGGTATAAGTCAGCCGCTTGAACGGCGCCGCCGCCTTGACAGTTAACGTCGGTAGTTGGGTCGTGACCCTCGGAGCCTTGGGGGCTATAATCGGAACCTGCTAGTTGCTTTGGGAAACTGGAGCCCCCACTCTTGGATACAAACTAGTGTAATTCAGGCTGTCCCCAAATGGGTTAGAATAGGATGGGGCTAAATTAGAGAGCCTTGATTTAACTGGTCCGACTGAAGCTTGGGTTCGCTTAAGGGACTCATTACGGTCCTCAACCATTGGGCTAGTTCCATAATTTGGCCCAATCCTTGTGGTCTCAGCATTCTCACTTCAGCTCTCTAATCATTGGATTTAGCCCATTTATGAAGTTCCCCTCCAATACCAACTCTGGAATCTTCGGCAAAGGGGCAGCTAATCGTTGAAACCAACGACGGTAATCCCTTAGAGACCCATCCCGTTTCAGAGAGAGAAATTTCTCCGGCCTGAACCTCTCTAGTAGCAACAGCTTTAGATCATCCTAACGCGTCAAGGGTTATCGTCCATTTTCCCTTTTATACCACGCGAGTGCTTCCTTTTCAAAACAGACTACAGCGGCCTCGATTTTCTCCCAATCCGTAAATTGATTGATGTTAAAATACCTCTCTGCGCTGAAAGGCCCTTCACAGTTGAATACCAGCATCTCCAGTCGACGGTTTCTACTTTCCAACTGTCCTACATCTTCCCTGTGCAACCGCCCTTTAGTTCTTCCGACGAACTCCTAGGTTCTGATTTGTGCCTCCGAATCCATGGTCGGATCCAGTGAGTTGGATGAGTTCCCCTTTTCCTTCCTATCCCTTTCTTGTTCTCCCCACTTTGTCATCACGAAGTCGAGTTTCTCCATGATTACCGTCATATCTCATTGCATTTCAGATTTCATTGCCTCCACTTCCTCCTGTAATCCATCAAACCTTGACTCCAAATGTGCCACACGATCAGTAATCATCATAGTCCCTGAGATGATGCGCTCATACCAAATTGATACAATCCTGGATGCAGCGTTCTTCCTGTACTGGTAGGCAGAGTTCACAGAGTCGTTGAAAAACACGAAGTTTATTAATGAAATGAAAAGAGATGAAATGGAGACAAGTTCAGGGCTATTAGAGAGGCCCCGTCTCTCCCCCTTATTCCCAACTGAAAATCAGTACATCCAATGCCTATTCCACCGCTCTTCCCTCCATATTTATTTGCACTACCAAACAGACTATTACATTTCTACCCCTCTCTAACTAACTCAACTGACTTTGGTTCAACTGAATTGGCAGAACCGTTAGGATCACTGATCTTCTTTCTTCTAGCATAGGTGAACCGGATTGGGGCCTATCATTTTCTCAAGTCAGTTCATGGGTTTCTTTTTTAAAAATGAAGTTGTAGTCGCATACTTTTCAGTTAGGAGATATCTCTAGGATGATTCACGGAAAGATACCACAAATGAGATAGATAATCCTCTTGAAAAAAACTATATGAATAAATGAAGCAGACAGTTTGTTTCATTTTCCAGTTTTTCTTTTTACATATAGCCCCTGTTTGGTTTAGTTAAAAATCAGATTTTTAGTAGATTTTGATAAAAAGTGATGAAATGTGTGGTTGAGAAATTGATAAAAACTGTGGGTCCCATGAAATATGTGGACTTTGACTTAGATTTTTATCAACTTTTTTAACTAAGCGAGATGGGCAAAATAATGTCAAGCCCTTTTGTTAAGTGTGTCGTGTACATTAGTTTTGGGAACAGATTGCTGTGGGATACTTTTAAATTCTGGAATTTTTGGACTAAAATCAAGAAAAGCTGAGAATGTAAATGGTTAATGAATAAAAGGAAAGACGATTATTCTTGACCTTCTCAGAACATCCATTGATAACCTGATTTGGTATTAAAGATGAGGGGAAGAATTTCCTTGTTTCATAGTTCTGTTGTCCTTTACTGCCCAGATTATAATAGTTCAAAGATAGAATGATGTAAGATATGTTCTTAATTATCGGAATTTTGAGCTTGCAAATTCAGGTCGGATATTCACTCTTCAGATGTGCATTTTCTATAATTACTCTGAAATTGTATATAACTCATATATGATCCCAAGGATAGGCTTCTTGAGAGTCTGAGCTACCACATCGATGAAAACCCGTGTCAATAGATAATGAGGCATAAGAATTCAGGGGTTTTCAGAGAAATGAACTAGATGATAAACTGACCTGCCCTGATCAGGTTCTCTAAAGGTGCTGCTTATAGCGTTTGCTATTAATTTATGCTTTGAGTTGTGCCATTGAGAGGTCATATAAAAGGATTTCACTAGCCTGCTTGTGATGTTCTTTGATGATTCAGATTCTACTCTTCTAGACTCAAAATGAGGGTGAAACAACTTAAGTCATTCAGGTCCTGCCCTCGATTATGTAGCTCAGACTCTTATTCTGAATTGGAATTGAGAAATTATTAATTTAAACAGAAGTTACTGTAAACCTACCAGAATACAAATACTTTCCAGATTATATGTGAAACAGCCTCAAAGAGGAACTTTATCCCGTATATTAACCATCGCCTAACATTATTATCTTTTGCCATCACCTGAATATGGTGAGAAACAGATAGGCACCAGCCTGGTAAAAACCAATGCTCTGCTGCAGAAACATTTACTGCATTGCATTACTCACCTTTCCCCAGCATAAGGGTTATATGGGGAAAGATATTGACTACTTGCTCAGGAAAGAACAGGAGTTCAATTAAGTATTTACGCACAAGTGTTTAATTGTATTCGTAAAGATGCCACCATCAAATGATTTGAGATTTTCCTCGTTAATTTCACTCCTGGTGCATTTTATGAATCAGTATTTGACAATTGATGTGTATAGTATAGTTCAGTAATCACCACTAAGTCATCCGTTTTTACTTCATTTCAGGAAGAAAGAGGAGAGGATCGAAGACGTAATGTTGGGTACGTATGTCCAATATCATACTTCTCAGAAATATTTCATATACAAATTTGGGGAATGAAACGTCATCTGAATCAATATTTTCTCCTTTTTTCTTGTAAATGGTGCAGCACTAAATCAAGAAGTCAGAGGGTTGATATCCTTCTCCACCATATGTTGAGTGCGGAGCTGGAAAAAACAGAGTCCTCCATAGAGTCCACTGCATAAACTGGTTCATTCCAAGTCTTTTACGTTATCACCTTGAGCCTCTCCATTTATGCATATCTCCAAATATTTAGTGAGAACTTCCTATGAAATATGTTGATAGTCTTCAAAGAATTCTCATTTGTTCCCGAGTACTATTCATCATCACTTTTCTTTTATGGATAGCTGTTTCTTGTAGTATTTGAGTCTGTACTAGCATTTCGTTATGATGGAAGTGCACTTTTCCAAAAGGAATCTCGTCTTATCTTGGAGCACTTTCGCAGGCATCTCTTACCATATCTTAAAGAAATCTAAAATTTGAATGCCCCATTCCACCCTAGAAGCCAAAGTAGTTTACACAATTCTAGTCTCTCAATTTTAAGTAGTGGGAATAAAGTGAATTTTGATGGCTTTAGAGGCCTTCGTGTCTAGCCACAAAAGAAGCTTCTTGTCATGAATTTCTTATCTGCTTTTATAAGATTTGCATCCTGCGCAAGTAGAGAAGGTATAATGTAATGTGCCGATTGCAACATTTAATATCTGAGTTGCTGGAAGATGCCAAAAGCTTGTTGGTACTTAGCATGTGGAAGAAAACATGTTATCAAAATTGAATCGGACCGGCCAGTTCAACCGGAGAAGCCCGAACCGACCTTCAAACTGGTTTGATTATGAATAAAAACCACTTGAATTAAAAATGGATAAAATCCGGATAATCACAAGGTTCAACCGTAAAACCAGTTGACCTGGTTCACTTATTATTTTTTAGGAAGAAAAAATAAAAACTAATAGGCCAATGACTAAATGAGGCCCAAAAGTTGTTCAACATTTACTAGCCATCTTTTATAGTTGTCTTCTAACCTTTCCTTTTACTCCTCATCTGATGTGGGATTGTAGACCCCTGAAGTTTAATCTTTTCAAGTTTTATATGTTGGGATTAAATTTAGACTAATGTGCCGTTCTATTTGAAAAAACTGTATACGGATTTTTTAAACCCAAAAATAAATTAATTCTTGAATTTCAGTATTTGATTTCTTTTTTCATTTTATGTCTATTTACTTGTTTAATTTTATTTTTATATTACACTAAAATGATATAAGAATCATTTGTTGAAGATTTTGCTACATTATTCTCATCTTCTATTGATATTAAAAGCCCACATAATGAAAATATTATGTAGAAAAGTATATAAATGTTTTTCATCTTTATATATTAATTAATTTGAAGATTAACTTATTTTTCTACTATGTATATGTGTGTGCAAATATATTTTTTATTACAACAGTTCCTGTTCGACCTTTTGACCCTTAACCCTTTTACTTTTACGAGTCAATGATCGGATCGTTTTTGAAAACGTTGCCTGTTATGTCTCTTTCAAGTAGATTCCACAGCATGGTTACATGGTAGCCACGTGACAAGGGAATTTAGGTTCACACTCCATGTCATTCTGTATATGTGGCAATTTTTGTTCAACCCCTATGGAGAGGTTGAACCCATATGGAAGGGCCGAACTCATTCAGATGGTTGAATCCTTATGGACGAGGCAAGACTTAGATGCGTTGTAGATGATTTTCATTACAAGATCTTTTATGATTTATTGATGTGATAACTCATTGTAGCAGTTACTTTATTAAGTAAATATGTCAACTCTAGTCCTTGAAACCTAGGCCTTAGGATTGCAAATGGTCGGAACATTAAATGCACTTGACTGCAGTACAATGCCTATGACAAGGCGCCTCAACCGACAAAATGAGGTCACATGTTTAATTATCCAATGGTTAATATTTCTTCTCTTCTCCTATAAAAGCTTGCACATTATGTTATTAGAAGGTAATGTAACTTTATATACTCAACTATCATAAGATTCTAACCTTTTTTCTTCTTAAAAAACATGTATCATGTATAGGAAGTTATCCATCCGATTAAGGAAATAGAAACTAAAAAGTTTTATCATAGCTTATTGACAGCACAAGCAGATGTTGCATTCCAAGACAACAGCATGAAAAGTTAGTGCTAAAAAAAACATATATTAGTGTGGCATATTCTCATGAGATGACTACAATCAAATGGATACAATTGAAGGAAACATCTGCTTTTTTGGCACAAAGATGACTACAACTGTCAGCATTCATTGGTGTTGGATTGTAGAAGGGTGGAAGTAATAGATTAACAGCTCATACCCATAACTTAGAATTCAGGACACAAAGATTTGTTTAGCTAAAAAGTAATATTTGTGACTTATCATCTAAGTTTCCCTTCCATTTGTCTTTTCATAACTGCAATCTATTCAATCACAAGATAGCGATGACAAGCTAGAACCTTTTCCAACTAGCTTCCATGCCAAAGTAAGAACTAAAGATGACTATTTGAGCAACTAGCACATTGCATGTTCATAGCAGGGTGTATTAGCATAAGTTCTAAATATTTTTTGGTTATGACAAGTAAAAAAAAAAAAAAAAAAAAAAAAAAAAAAAAAATGAAAAAGAAAAAGAAAAAGAAAAAGAAAAAGAACAAATCTAATCACACATATTCACTTCATGAATTTTCCCTAGTACGAGAGGACCGGGAAGGATGCATCTCTGGTGTACCAGTTATCATGCCTATGGTAAACGTTGGGTTAGAAAACCGGCAAGAAAAAAGAAGGTAACTCAAATTCTCATTCTCCCCCTTGCTGGATTTTTTGCTTTCTGCCATGGAGAGATAGCCTCTGCCTTTCGGGGAAGGTGGAACCCGCATGGCTCAATGATCTTTTATATATTTTTCCAGTAGTGTAGGTATTATTGCATGTAATGTGAGGAACTACTAAACTCAATCACTTGCTGTCGTTACTCTTCAGTTTTCTGTTGAGGTCTATCCTGTTGTCCATTTTTCGAGGTCTCAAAGGGCGTAGAACACATCAAAATAGCCTCGGAACTTCGAGAGAAGGGGTGCGCAGCTTTCTCCAGACTTCTGGGAAAAGCATGAAAAAAAAGGCTCGAATGGTACGATCCCTCCGGAATGCATTAAACGTAAAGAAAAACACAAATATGAAAATACATAAATGAAAAAATAAATACATGCAGAAGTGTAGATATTCATGAAATACTTTCGTCAAATGAGTCTAATACTATTCTTTGGCCAATCAACAGTACTTCCCATGGCTTCATTAGGTACTCGAAATTCATCTATAGGTGTATATAAGGTCAAATAATCCATATGCACTTCCTCTACCCAAACCTTCCAACAATCATGTCCAAGTGGCATGTGGTGCACCTTTGATCTTGGGTCTATTGATGCAATTTTCTCTTCTGCTACAATTTTTTCCTCATCATACCGATACCAATGCAATAGTTAGCACCTTGAATTTTCCAAATGTGTGGTATCTCTCTGGATACCACTTCATTGTTGGGACTACAAATTCACAATAAAATGAACATGTCCCCTTTAAAATTATTATGCTATAGATTGAATTTATAATGAACAAACAATAAATAATATAAGATACATAACCTAAGGAGTAAAAGCACGTGAACTCATACCATCTACATTCTTATTTTGATTCCTATTCTACGTACTAAGTTATGTAAAGCTATGTTGTCATATTTATATAATGATAAAGTATATAACCTGAAATAATTTGTGAAGTACTTTAACTTTTTCTTCTAGTGTTCACACCCTTTTTGACTGCATTTGTATTTAGCTTTTAAGTTCTCTCACTCGAGAATTACTTTGAATTTATCGATTGACTTTTTGATGGTGTAATTTCAAATCCAAGTCCCCTTACCCTTCCACGATGTTCAGGACCTACAACTTGAGCAATAGCATCACCGCGAATGGAATCTTTTGCTGGTATATCGAAAATAGATTGGGCACAATCCTCTATCTTCTTTTTGCACTTATAGAACTAAAATTTTATACTAGCAAGTATTAAATATAATAAGTTTAATTATCATTGATAGAATGTTGATATAATACACATACCAAAGTTTCGACAATCGTTTCATTTATAGGTTTTTCATCACTTCTAAGATGCCCATGAGTCCACACTTTAGTTCTTAACCCTTTTATGTTTGGATACTTTTTTTCTTTTCTGCAATACAAATCAAATAATTATATATACTAGCATTGGACATATGCAATTAACATGATATAAACAAAAAGGAATGAAGATAAATAAGAAAATTGTTATTGTCAGGTACAGACAAGTGAAGATAGCTTGTATGTACCAAACAATCAGCTATATGTTGATAACCCTTTCGACCCATATTATGTAAAAGTTTCTAATTAGTTCTTATTTTGCTAAACTTGGCATTTTTTTCCTATTAAGAAGACAAAAAAATTGAACAGCTATAATCAAATAAATTTTAAGTTCAATATGAAAATACAACTTACTTGAAAATCATTAGAAATAGTATCTTCTACAAACGTTTTCCATGCTTCTACAGAGTTTACATTCTTCAGTCTAAGAAGGGAAATAACACATAGTCTATTCACAGATGATGCTATTTTAATTTTGATTTCTTTTCTCAATCTTGATTTGAATGTCCTTCAATACTTTCCCATACATTGAAATGCCATTTTTTGATGGAAATCACTCACATTGAACCTTTGCTGTATATTGTGCACATATATAAGAAATGATGTCATTAGGAATGAAATACATATAATAAATAATAAAATGAATTAAAGTTATTGTATTTATAAATGTACCTGTATGAAAATCCAAAGTTCAATGCTTTCTTATCACCTATCGAATGCCAATCCTTAATTACAATAGGCACATGTTCTCGTACTATGGCTTCAACTATGCTAGCAAATTTGTTAGAGTTAGTGTCAACTACTTGTCTGAATACATTAAATTCAAACTCTATCTTATGATAATTATTTTCAAGAACCATTTTTACTTGGATTGGACCTCTTTTCTTTTTTGGAGCATCTATATTTGTTGGTGTCATGTTTTGCTTATTAGTAATTGGAGTTGATATAGTATTCTCTGGTTCACTCGAAAGTCTTAGTCTTTTACTAGTCTCTCGAATTGCAATGGCAATCACAGCTCTTCGACGTTTTGAACTCTTGGAAGCTTGCTTAGTTGACTTAAAGAATGCAATATGAAAACCAGATATAAATATAATTGTTCTCGAAAGTTAACAAGTATCTTAAGAAGTATAAAAAAGCACACTAACTTGAGCTTCGTCCATCGTATAAAGTATATTACTATCAACTAGTTTGAAAAAATCACTTCAGAGAGAGCAAAAATCTGTAAACAAAAAGAGATAGATTTACCAAACTAATAATCATT